CAGCTCTGCATTTCAAACTCATGTTGTCTTATGTGTAACGCATTTATTTTCAGTTAAAACAGTGCTTATTTTGGTGATGGTTTCCATCAGGCCCTGCTCACTCAGCGCGTCCCCCTCGCACGGTGTCACACCACGTCACGCCTGCCTCTCCCTGCTCTGTCCCTGCGTGGCATTTCAGAGCTCTGGGAGGCAGGTATGGCACCTTGCTCGTACCACCCGCCTGTGACCACAGAGGTCCAAATGGGCATTTGCAGCTCTTCTTTCCAGGAATCTGTCGCTGGTTGCTATAGTGATAAACAAGTTGGCTTATTAGGAAAAGGAACAAAGGAGTAGAGAAAATTATTTCAAAATGGCCTATGTGCATACATAAACATGCAATCTCGTTCTTCATTGTCAGCTCGGGCAGCTGGTTTCTCGTTTCTGGAATGGCACAGACCCCATATACCTTATTTTAGCAAGTCCAGCACGGTCTTTGTTGCCCATCTTTTCTGGCACACAGAGTCCTGCATGTGAGTGTGGGGCCCTCACTTCCGAGCTGGATGATTAAATTTCTCAGGGACTTCCACAACTGGATAGTGCAGGAAAATGTGCTCTCTTAGAAAAAGCGTTAGGTGATCTAATGAGACTAAATAAGTCTAAATGAGCAGAAGAGGACAGAAGAAATAATGCTTTTGCTGCATCCTGTGCTGCTGCTGCTTTTTTTTTTTTTTTTTCCTTTCTTCGCCCCTCGCTCATGCTAAGGTACCTCTGTGCAGACACTTAGGGCGGCAGTCTGTGCCTGTCAGATGGCAGAACATTACTCTCTCAGTAGGATACCTGGCTTAAGGATTGGTGTTTTGGGCCTTAACTTATGCATAATAAACATGTCCTCATTTGAATCCCTAGATACACAGTGACTGCACTGAGATCAGACTTGTGCCCTTAAGTGTGCAGTAGACAGTGGATGTTCTTTGACACCCCTGTGAGATGCAACTTCAATACTGTTTTTATGGCTAATCACACATTTTGATTGACTGGGCAATGCCAAAAGGTGTAAATTCAAGCACTAGGAAGTACACTGCATGTATTTAATTTAGACAGGCAGACTAGTCTTTTGCCTGCTACAATTTGAGTCACCTTGTATCTGGTTTTATCCATCACAGAAACAGGGCCGATGAACCACCTTTGCATGCCGGAGCTGATTACCCACCTTCTGTTATCACCAGTCACTGCTGTTGAAAGAACACCACAAAACAGTCCAAAGAAACGAACCATCTTTGGGTTTAATCTGTTAAATTACAGGCATGTGAAATAGAAACTATTTCTCTGCAGTTTTATCCACTAGTTAAAAATAATTGCACATTTTTCTATGTTTATCCAACCGGTTTTGCTTCTACTTCCCACAGGACTGTAATAGTTCTATCAGCCACAGAACCTACAAACCAATAAATTTTCATAGCTTTATTTCAAATGCTATCTATAACTCTGACCATCTTTCCAATATCTGAAAAAGAACAGTCTGTAATGTTGTACCTAGCTTGAGCAAATCCTGGTGTTCAGAAAATGAGGGGAAATTCAAATGGAGCAAGCAAAAGGCTCGGCCAGCCTGTCCCCTGGCCCCGGGGCATGTCCAGCGGAGAGGCTGGGTGGGCAGCCTGGGTCGCATCAGGAGCCTCTAGATGGAGCTGCCTGGTGGGTGACCCCGCACGGTGAGGGGGGGAGAAAAGCAAAAAGAACGGAGTTGTTTTAGAGAAAGTGGGACAGTACGTCTATGGCACAGCTATAGCAACTCTCCCACTATCCTTTTCTACAGATGTTGGAAAGACTGAAACCAATGAAGAGGGAAAAAACTGGGGCGGGCACGCAGTTGCTGGCTGGCGTTCCCATCCCTTACAACTGCATCCAGCCAGCACGAGACAAAGAGTCTGCAGTGTGCTCCAATTTGAAAAAAGCCTCTGTGCGCCTGTAAAGAATGTTCCCAGGGATGAGGTTTCTTTTGTTTCTACGTGCATATGCACACTTGCACATACACACACACACACACACACACATACACACACTGCCTTCTAGCACTGTGTCAAGCATTCTGCTGCCAGAGCCAGGCATCCTCTGCTGGTAAGAAGCACAAGAAACTGAAGTAGAGGTAGTTTGGTTTTTGTTTTGGTTTTGGTTTTAAAAAAACAAATGAAAAATTGGGTGCCAAGTCCTGACACATCTCTGATAAAGATCTTTGGAGAACGGGGGCAGTGATCAGCAATACCATAATAAATGAGCCAAGCCATACACTACTGCAAACAAACAATTCTGGACCAGATCCTGAAGAGGAATGCCTGCCCACACACCCTGATACAACCCAGAATATGCGCTGTACTGCATATTGTGTGAAACCATAGGAACAGTCTGAGTCACACAATGATTGGTACCATCCATCACAAGTTAGAAACTCGTCCTTTGTTTCAGAGTTGCACCTGAGGCCTCAAATCAAATGTGACAATTTTTATAATAACCATCGCTAAGGTGTTTGGCAGGAAAAAACTATCATCTCTGTAGATAGTTTGTCCCCACAAATGGAGTGGTTATTTGACTGGATTCCTCCAATTTCCAAAGGAAGAACATTTTGCTTTGCTTATCAAGAAACAACAGGTTAATAAATAACATCTGGCTTGTATGTAGTGCCTTCATTATCTTTTACCTCTCCATCTAAGATAATCTATACCTAAAGCTAACAGTAGATGCTGCTGCATTATTTGATATCACACCTGATGGACCTGACTCACGACCTCTGTGTCTGTTACGTGGCACGTGAAAACATGTTACGACAGTTCTGGGGTAAAAATAGAGTTATTGCTATTTGTTATCAAACAGCCAAGTGTCTCACATTGTTACGCTACCAATCTTGTGTACAGTTGGAAGCAGTAAACACTTTGTTAGCAAGTGTACAGAAACACGTAGTTACCAGCTTTCAGGAACACAATTAAAGAGATGGAAGAACACCAAATAGTTCATTGGGATATCTCCCTGGTGCTGAGTTAGTGTTTGTGCTCCTTCCTAAACTGCTGCAATTACATTTAGCTATTCTTATTGCTGCCTTATAGCCATAAACTATTAAGCATTCTCTCTAGGCTAAGCTCTGAATATGACATGCAAGTCCATGGAAGGTAATACTTTCGGATGAAAGATAATACAAATATAAACCCGGTATTTTTTAATAATGTAATATTTTTGGCTATAAAGAACATCAATTAAACACATCCATTTGTAACCCTTGGGTTTTACGTTCTGCCCCAATAGCTTTTTAGGGTCCTAACAGGGTATGATATAATATCTAGAAGTGACTAGCTTTGAATTAACTTTTCCAAATGACTACTGACTTTCAAATGAGAACAAGCAATAGTTTCTTGGTATGTTGCTCTGATACATATGTTTGCATTATGTGAATGAATTATCTCTGTAAATAAGATTGTACTGTAAATGAGAAAACAATGGTACATTCAGTGATTGGGCAGAGACAGCATTTAGATGATTGTCCTCTAGATAAACTGCATCAGCACAAAGTGGGCAACTGTAATTTCATGTCCGAGATGCTTTTGATTTGGATATATTGAACTATTTATGCTCACTGCATTCCCCCATATTATTTAATTAATCACATAACAACCCTTCCACTCCTCCACTAAACATGCTAACTCTAATTAGCTCTCTGCTACACAGATGTTCCCTCATTTCGATGTTCAGTGCCTGGTCATGCGTCACCCTCGCTTTCGCATGGATTTCAGATTGTATTACATCACTTCAGCGTCCCTTCTGTATGTGAGCCCTCTGGGTTAATACGTTCTTTTGAACAACAAATTGCAGATAGATGTGAATGCTAGGTATACATGGTGTCCACATTATCTGCATTTGTCACACACATGCAAATACGAAGGATCCATATAAAACAGAAACAAAAGCAGCAGTTTAAGCCGGGGAGGCTGAAGACATGACCGATTTCTCTAAGCCGCGCTATTCCTACTGATAAGTCAATGTATCAGTGGTGAAGCACTCTGTTTCTGAACTCAAGTAGTCCTCGAGTCTGTGAGACCACCATTTGATCTACACAAGGGTAAATGTTTTAATCAGAGAATTGTGGAGAATTCAGTAATTTGTAAATACTAATGCTGTGCCTCTGCGGTTTTTACGCAACACGAAGTTTTAAAAGCATAATTCAAGCTCTACGTAAGCGTTTAGTTATGACAGCAGGGAGTGTTGAAAAATGCATCGGAAACTTTCCTGGCAGGAAGGGATTCGTAAGAGGTTTTAGACTGTGCGTTTCACGTGTGTTGCGGCACCCGACGAACGCCTTTTTTCACGAAATAAAGACAGGTGGATTGTTATGAAATTCTCATATACGAGTGTTTTTGGAACAGGAGCTCTCGAGCCCGCCGGATCTGCGGGGCAGCACCCCGGCGGGAAGGGGGGCAGAGGCGGCTCGGCGGGGGGGGGGGCGGACGCGGGGCAGCCCCTGCTGTGTCCCCGCCGCGGGCCCGGGGACGGGCGGGCGGCACCGACCGGCGGACACCGGGGAAAAACGAGGGGAGCGGCACAAATCGGCCGCCTCATCGGCAGCCTCTTACTTCTGCGGAGCGCAAAAAAACCAGCCTGCCGTTTGGCGAAAAAAAAAAAAAAATAAAAAAAATAAAAAAGAAAAACAAACCACAAAAAAACGAAGCCAGCGGCTGCCCGCCGCTGCGAGGGGTAAGTACTCGGGCACGTACCCCCCCGCCCGGCCCGGCGCTGTCCCGGGGAAGGCGTCCCGGCCGCCGGCCGAAGTTTGGCTCCAGCCGCGGCGGGAAGGAGCCCCTCGCCGCCAGCCGGGCTCCAGCAGCCCACCCCCCCACCCCGCTCCCAGGGCGCCGAGCTCCGCCGGCCGCTCCCCGCGGCGCCCGGGGGCGGCAGCCGGAGCCGGGGCGGGGCGGGGCGGGGCGGAACCCCCCGGCCCCCGCCCGCGGGGACCCTCCCTCCCGCCTCCCCGCCCTCCCCTCCCCGCCGCCGCGCACCGCCAGAGCCGCCCGGGGAAGCGGAGGAGAAGGAGCGTCTCCCTAGAGCACGCACGTTAACCCCCCCCCCCCCCCCCCTCCCCGCACCGCCGCCGCTGCCGCGCCGAGCTCCGGCCGCGACGGCGCGGCCCGGCCCGGCGATGCCGAGGGCGAAGGAAGAGGAGGAGGAGGGAGAGCGGCCGCTCGGGGAATAAGAGGCGCGGCGGGAGCGGGGCCAGGCGCTTGCCCCCCGTCGGACCGCCGCAGGGCACCGCGGGGCGCCCCGGCCCGGCGGCGGCGGGAGGGAGCGGCGCCCCGCCCGGCCGCCCCGCGGGGGAGCGGAGGGGCAGCCCGGCCGCCCCCCCGCCGCCATGCGCTGAGGGCGCCGCCGCGCCCGTCCATGGGGCGGCGCTGAGGGGCGGGGCGGGGCAGGATGAAGTCGCTGCTCTTCAGCCGCTTCCTCCTGCTGCTGCCCTGGGTGCTCATCGTCATCATCGTGCTGGACATCGACAGCAACCGGGCGCCGCTCCCCGCCTTGGCCCGCGGCGGGAGCGGGGGGTCCCGGCCGGCGGCGGCGCGGGCGCCCCCCCCGCGGCGCCCCGAGGCGGCGCTGCCCACCATCTATGCCATCACGCCCACCTACAGCCGCCCGGTGCAGAAGGCCGAGCTCACCCGCCTGGCCAACACCTTCCGGCAGGTGTCGCGGCTCCACTGGATCCTGGTGGAGGACGCGGCGGCCCGCAGCGAGCTGGTCAGCCGCTTCGTGGCGGGCGCCGGGCTGCCCTGCACCCACCTCCACGTCCCCACGCCGCGCCGCTACAAGCGGCCGGGGCTGCCCCGCGCCACCGAGCAGCGGAACGCCGGCCTGGCCTGGCTGCGGCAGCGGCACCAGCACCTGCCCCCCCCGCAGCCCGGGGTGCTCTTCTTCGCCGACGACGACAACACCTACAGTCTGGAGCTGTTCCAGGAGGTGCGTGCGGGGCGGGGGGGGCGCGCGCGGCCGGCCTCCCCTCAGGCGCCTCGCCGTTCGTTTCCCGCCTCCCCTCGCCGCCTCTCGGGCGCCTTGCCGTTTCCCGCCTCTCCTCGTCCCCTCAGGTCCCCGCCGCTTGCCCGTCCCCGTCCCTCACCCAAAAACCCGGGCACGGAGGAGTCGAGCCTGCTCCCCGGCGCGGACACCTTGCAGCGCCCCGGCCCCCACCCGGGCTCCCCTGCGCTGCCTGCGTGTGAACACCCCTCTCTTAAGTTTTCCTCCCTTCCACGCTCCCCCCCGCCCCCCGACTCTTTACCGCTGTTTTCTCGCTTTTCTGCCGAGCCAGGCAAGTTTAGGGTTTACATAAGGGATCCAGTTTTGTTAAAACTGGGATGGGAAGCGCTCTTTGATATTTATTTTTCTCAGGCTGCGTCCCTCTCCCTCGGGGACAGATTTGCATCAAGAGTCGCCATCCTTCACAGTTTTTTCTTGGCGCGAATGAATTAATTCGGAGCCGTCTCCTTCACGTGGAGTTGCCCGGTCTTTTTGAAGCCTTTCGCTCTTAAAAGCAGCAAATCGTTTGTGTAATGACTAAACACCCTTTCAGGAGTCTCTTTTGTGAAGGGACCTGTTTTCGTCTTTATTGCAGCCCCTTGGCGAAGGGGTTTACTCCTTTTCGGTGGGAATTGGCAAGCGCTCGGGGGAGAGGGTATCCAGCTTTCTTTCTGGGTTCCCCCTGACAGGAAGGAGGAGTGTTTAATAATTGGACATAAAACAGCAGAAGAAAGATCATGTACGTCTTCCGTGACAGCTAGGAGAGTAATCTTGGCAAGGAAGCAGAAAAGTAGACAGGCAGCAGATAGGGAATGTACAGAATTTAAGACAAACTGTGGTCCGTAGCTTCCGCTGGTGGACAGTACTGTATTTAGTGGTGTACACCCGTATTCTGCAGTTCGGAAGCACTGTGCTTCCTCACATGCTTTACAGTCAGTAGGTTAAAATAAACATGATACACAGAAACGTGATACACGTGAAATCCCCTAGAGCAAGTTATTTTAGATGTGACTATGTTAATCTGTGTTTAGGTTCATAATGCCTCCCTTTCCATTTCCAGTAGGTGGGCAGATGTGGAGTCCCAGTTCAGCAGGGATGCCCTACTTCCTTTGCTCATTTGGCATTCAACATCGAAGCTGCTAATTTGAAGACCTTTGCCTGGAGGCTAAACCTTTGTTGTAATTGATTTTCTTAAAATCTGCTGGCTGTGCTTAGCGAATTATAATGCAGAGTAATTCCACGTACCCATCTTTGATGTGATGGGAGTATCCACTTCTCTTTGGGGATATAGAAGTAATCTGATTCACTCGTAGGGAGTCTACAAATTGATACAGAAAATACACTTTGCCACAAAGAGTAGTGTGGGACAAAAGATATTTTGGAGATGAATCTCTACTTTTTTTTTTTTTTTTTTTTTTTTTTTTTTGAGTACAAACGCTAGGGACAAGCTAAAGGAACAGTATTGGCAGGCATATCTCTTCAGTGACCTACAGCTACTGAAAGGGAGTCGAGTCAGGTTTATTCTTTTACCATTTCCCGTATAATTATTGTAATTGATGTGAATGGTGAAACAAAAAGGTACAAGTTACCTCTCCAATCAGCTAGGAAATGCAGGAAAAGAAGGGGATAAATCCATCGGAAGGGTTAACCTTGAAAATTGCATGCACGGGAGGGGGTGCAATCTGTGTTTCCTTTTGATGACAAGAATGGTAACCTCTGGCATGCAGCTCTGCAGCCCTAAGGCTTCTCTTTCACCAGCTTTGCTGGGAAAGAAGAGGTGTTTATTCTGAGCCCTGTGTTCGCAGGGAAACACATGTGCATGAATGAGTTTTTCCTGTGAAACGTGGTGGTTGGAAAACTCTGTTCTAGGAGCAGAGAAGCAGCTTTTGCTTCAGTTGCCACTACAAGTTCCCATGATCATTTTCTGGGGTCGCTGACGAGCTGTATGCAAGGTCTCTGGGATGCTGTTGGTAGTAACACAGCGAATGCCTTGTCGACCTGGTGAGGTTAATGGAAGTCCCTCGCCAGGATTTGCCACCGGGATGTGCCTTTACGACAAGTGGGAGGTTGCGTTTAGAGAGAGACGTAGTCTTGTTTTCAGCAGAGGCACTGCCTGAGGGTTGTGTATTTTTTTTTTTTCTTTAAAAAAAATCTTCTCTGTCTTTTTGGATTCTGGCTTGACAGCTCTGTAGTAAATCTCCATCTCCTTCAGGAACGGATTGATTTATGAGGGTAAACCATGCTCATCTTCTCCAAGCATGAAGAGAGCAGCTTCAGAACACACTGTGTGCAGATGAAATCTGGCAGTAATTCCTGTCATGAAAGTGGCGGTAACGATACCTGAGAGGGAGTTTTTTTTCATTTTGTTACCCTGCCAGGAACAATTCTCCAGACCTGCAGTCGTGTAATCCCAAAGGAGGTTTGATAAACTGTAGTCTGCTCCCTGGGGAGATCAGTATATACGTAGGCAGGAGCTCTGTATTATGGTCCTACCACCGTCCTGCGCTGGCTGGGTGACCTTCAGCATGTTCACTGACACGGGCCTGGGGACGTGTGGGTCCCAGCCTGCCAGCAGCTGTGTCTGCTAGCATCTGTCCCCAGGCAGTTGTGTATGTTCGATGGTTTATGAAACAGTAGGTCTGTTTTCTTTGTAATGGTTTTCTGCTGAGTCAAAGTGGGTTACAGGAACAGCAGTGAGGGCTTGGGGGGATTGGGAACCAACACTAGTTAGGACTGTAGAACCAACCTGAGAGAAGCGTTGCTGTTAGGGGGGTGTTTTGCTTGGAGCTTGAAAAAGCATTACTATGGAGCAGAAGACATGCCAGGGAACTGCATGTCAGTGAAGGATTATGCTTAAGGCAGCTCCTTTGCTATGGGTTTCCCTAGTGCCCTTACAGAAGACGGAGCCTTTTTAACAGAGCAAAATCAGCAAAAGCTTTACTGTGAGGGTACATGTATAAACTGTAAGGGCATGATCAAAAAGGAGCATGCTTTGACATGAAATGCCATGGGATACTTCTGAGAGCCTTTGATGAGGAAATTCTAATCTCTTTCCAAAGTACTTTTGTCTGGTGCTTATAGGAATGAGGACATTATATTTCATATGGAGTGAGCTGGGCCCAATAGACCTGGGGAAAATGTGTTTCATTAAAATCGGGAAAAGAAAACCCCAGTTTACAGTAGTGTTTTGCTGGAAAATGTCACCATCTGTAGTAAATCTGGAACCCACTGGTGCTATTTATAATCGTCGTCTTTCCTAAAACGTATGATGGCATGTGGGTGTAGAGCATAGTTTTTGACTGGCAAAACTATGTCCTCAAAGTCAAACTGGGCAGGGTCTGAGCCGGTTTAGTTGTGGTTTCTAGAAACAAGGTGGAGAGCCTGGTCTGTCTTTCTGCTGCTACAGTGTGCTCAGCATTGACTCAGCTGAGCATTTTGTTAGGAAGGGCTCACCTTCCCTGGAAAAGGCTTCAGGGAAAGGACCAACTTGTTCAGTGATTGTGAAATTCTTTAGAGTACTAAGTGGGGCTGCAGCAACGATGAAGAAGTATTTCCAGGAGTGGAGGTGTGGTTTTCAAGTTATTCCCAACTCTTTCTGCTTGAAAGTATAATGGTGGTCAGGTGAAAAATTGTGCTTTTACTTTAATGCTGGTGGTTCTGGCATATTGTATTTTGTCATTTATTATTTTGGGATCCAGGCCTCAAAAATAATTCATATTTTTTCTGCTCAGGTATGGTCTGTTCACCTGGAAGTGTCCATCTGCATCTCTTCATCAAAAACAACAGTCCGCTTTCTGAAAATATCTTTTATCAGTTGAACGTCAGCCTGCGCTCATAACAAAGCCACTGAGAGGCCTGAAATCCCAACTACTGTATTTGACATGCTTTACAGATGTTTCTACATGCATCATTGTAACTTCTGTTTTTCACTATAGGCTGTTCTTTTTGGAGTGGCACTGTTAAAGTTTCTGTTGCGTTTGTGCTTCATCTTATACCTGAATGCAAGTTATTGTAATATTGTCACTGATGCCTAGCAACTGCCAATTTCACATTTTTAGACTTCCAGAAAGAAAACCTGAGATAAAGCTGGCATTCCACCTTCATAGAGAGATTTGAAAACCAAGATTAGCCTAAGCACCTGGAAACCGAAGACAGATGTAGCTAAGTTCCATCTCCCTTAACTCTTCACCTCATTCATGTGTTTCTATGTCTCAGGTGTTTTCTCTGCCCTTTCTGGTTTTGTGTAGTCGGCCAAAGGCCACCACTTCCTTGGTCCATGCATGGATATGGATGCAAGTTGGAGGAATTTGTGCTGGAGGTCCACTCCACTGTTGATAGCGCCAACTCCCCTGAAACCTTTCAGGGAGAAGGGTGAGCTGCTGAAGTAGTACAAAGGACTCACTAAGTAAAGGTCTTCAACATGTGTGAGAAAGTGAGCTTGCTGCATTCGGAAATGCATTGATTTTTAGAGATTCCTGTCTAGGTTATATCTGTCACCCTTGCTTGTATTTTGCTCAGACACTTAAACTGAGATGTATGTGAAATTAAAATGCTTGTACTTAAAACTGTGATCTCCCTCACTGCCACCCCTAGCCCTTTGATCACCGGTGTCTAAAATTTCATAGCAAGATTTGCTGCGTGCCTAGAGCATGCTAGTATGGCATATACCACTATCCTGTCTGAGTGCAAGTTGAGAATTTGCAGACTGGATCTCCTTAGAGGAGCACGTGCTATAAAGTGAGATCCAAATACAGCCATGCAGCATGGAGTTCAGAGGAAATCACAGCATTAATTGTAATTTCTAAGGAAAAAAAAAAAAAAAAAACAAACCCAAACCAACCTTTTATTTAATAGTTTAGCCGTTAGCCCTGTTGTGCACTGAATTGGGGACCGGAATTCAATTTGATAGAGTTGAATCTGGAAAGGAGATGGGAGGAGAGATAGCTCAACCCCTTCTCCTGAAGTTGAGGTACTCTTTACAGGTTACTCAAGATTCATGGAGCCACAGGGAAGGTTAAGAATAGGATTGGTGAAGAGGACAGTCAGCTGGATTGCTCTTCTCGGGAGTAACTTAAACATCAAATCAAACAAAAATTCCTTAAAGTTTTGAAAGGATGCTATTGCTTATGTAGTGGCCCAAACTGGCCAGGTAGGATCATCCTCTAATCAGCCAGATGGGAACAAAGATTCATGAAGAACAAAGGAAAAATGGGAAATGTTTTGCCTTGGTTAATGGCTGTGACCAACTCGTTGAAGGTAAGGGCTGTCTAACTCTGCTAGTTTTTATAGTGGCACTGTAGAGCAGAGGGCAAGTTGTGCAAGTGATTCAGACTGAAAACATTTTTTTACACTCCTGCCCTATACTCTTCTAAAAGGTATGTATGAAGGTAGCAGATATTCTAATGGCCCTTCACAGTTCGTAGCTCCCCAAAATAAATCCTTGTTATTGAGATTAAAGCAGAAGTACTTACAGGCATCACCTGTCACACGGGCTTCAGTTTTCCCATGATCATATTTGTAAAATATTTTGAGAGCAACTCAAAAAAGACATTACAGAAGAGGTGAATATTTACTATTTATTCCAGCTTTTGACTAGGAAAGGATTAGCGCTTGTTCAATAACTTCTACATAACTATCCTAATCTTTATATTAAGCTAACTTCTGTGTATTTTTTGATGGATATATTTATGCAAAAATTGTAAAAGTAGTATAAGTGAATCTGTTTATCTTTTAAAATGTGGAGATCTTTTGTTATATCTCCTGGTTGGAAGAATCACATTTTTTACTATAGTCCTAAAAATAACATTCAGTAGTCTAGACAGAATTAAACATTAGCTAGCAGTCATTAGTTATTTTCTTCATAATAAAAGAGGATCTAAATATGAGTTAGCAGTGCATTAAATACCTTTCTAGTATATAAATGATTTAAGAATACGTGACAGATTTTAAATGCACAGTGACATTCCCCTTGCACATAGACATGTAATACCTATGCTAAAGAGGCTGGATTAGAAAAGGCTGGTAGAGAAACAATGAAATAGTTTAAAAATTAGAGGAAACAGTGACAAAAATAAAGCTGTTCGAAAGAGATTTATCCAAGTGAGGGGACTCTGCATTACAAAGTATGTAGCACTGTCTGTTTCTGTGCTTTGTCAGCAGTCTTTCTTACCTGAGAAACTGATACTGTTACTATTAAATTAATTATGAAGGGTCAGCAGCTCTTGAGAGGTTCAGTGAACACAACCTAGTAGAATAACAGATAGCAGCATGAGAGAGTTAGTGAGTAGAAGGGCCAAAAGAAAACATGAATAGCAAAGTTTTGGAAGTCTTCCCAATTCAGAGAAATTGGCTCCAAACCGCTTTACTTAAATTTAGTACATTTTTCTCCTGTAGGGAAGCAATATTGACATTTGTGCTCAGGGATGCTGGTATAATTTAGAAGCATTAATCATTGTACCCCATATGTAAAATGTTATGTGAGAGAAGAGGGAATTAATCTGTCCTCCCTCTGCAGTGTGACTGGGTAAGAATCAGCGGAGGAGGTTTACGGCAGATGTTTGGAAAAAAGCTTTCTAATAGTGAGAATGGTGAAACAGTAAATCAGATCACCCGCGAGGGTTGCAGAGTAGGCTAGATCAATGACTGGCACCTTTTTTTTGATTTGTAGACCCTTTCTACATGTTTTCCCATGGAGACATACCCTTCACAGTGAAGTTTACTGACAACAAACTTGCTTTTTGAAGTTACTCTCCCCTAAGCGTCACAGTCCCTGAACCACAAAAACCACTGGCGCAGATTTTCTGTGATCCAGTACCTCCTCTGGAGCGATGGTAAGTAGGGGCAGAAGCTCCCTCTAACACCTAAGTAAACAGGGACAGCATCGCTGCAGCTGAGCTATCCCTCTGACTCGTAGTGCAGTCGTGTGTAAGTTCTGTTGAAGCAGAATTTGGCTTTAAGTGACCTGTGAGTAATGCAGGATGCCTGTGTGAGAACTGCTAGGGAACCCGGCTGTCCTCATGCTTTAACCCCTAACATTTTCCCCAGTTGAAGAGTTGTAGTGAAGGAGCTCTAAATCCTGTCTTTGGTACTAATAAATTGGGACTTTACATAGAAATCTATCTGAGTTTCGCTGGGATGGGGGGGTGAGCCTGGATGATAACCTGTCGCCTGACCAGTACAGGTCACAAATTACACAGGGGTTGGAGTGATAGAGAAGAGGGAGGAGGAAAACAGCTTACTCTGTCTGGCAGCCAGGTTTGCATTTGCTGAGAGCTTTGAATCCTGAATGGAAACGCATTAACATCGTGCTGCAAAAACACTAGGATGGTTGTTCCAGTCTGGAAGCCTTTTCACTGTAGCAAGTGTGGCCATGTGTCCTTCTGTCTGTCATTTGCCTTCATTTCTCTTGGCCTCTTACATTTTGTTACTGGCTTGATACCTTCACTATCCATCAGTCCGGCACGTACCATTAAGCAGCTTTTCTTGATTGACTAATGAGGTGCTATTTTTGGCAATGCTTTTATCACTGTCTTTTATTGCTCAGCTACATTTTCTGCATTTTCACTTGTTATTTTTTAGTGGTTTCTACTAATTTACTACTTTAAGTTTCTACTGTATTTACTGTTATGTGTCCATCATCTCGCTGGGATTTCTTTGGTCAATTGCTACTCTCCTGTCATTTTCTTGCCCACTCCTTCCCAGTTGTGTCCCCACCACTTCATTTGGGTTTGTTCAACCATCTCGGAGTCCTTTTCTCATCTTCCCCCATCCAGTACATCACTCTCCTCCTATGCCCAAGACCCTCTTTCAAATAATCAAAATGTAAATAGTAGACAAAAGCATTTTCAGAGGGAGATTCGTCCTACCTTAAGATAGGTGTCTAAGCCAGGCAGGATGAATCGCATCAGTAGGTTCCCATCTCTGTTCATTAACTATAGAAGTCTAACTAGGATAGACCAGATGCCTAGCTTATAGAGAGTTAAGTGTAAGAAAGATGAATACCATTCATGTAAGCTACTAGGACTTAAAATGCTGAGAATTAAGACAGCATGTGCTACTGCACATTAAAATGACAGAAGAGCAATTTGGGAAGCTGTTTGTAAGTTACAGGATTTTGGCAGTTGTTTAACCCACAGAAATAAAACTATTTAGAATTAACATGTTTTTGAATCACCTTTTTGTGTCCCAATGATTAGTAGCATCAAATTCCAGATGGAAGCTGCCCTTTTAATCCACATAATAGCTTTCTCCCCATCATGCATAAATACAGCCTTAACACATCAATATGTTAACTGCAGTAATGCTATTCTCAGAAGATTAAAAGAAATATTCCTACTTTAATCTGCCTAGCATATCCTGAGGCTGTAAGGTATTTCAGAATTAGCATAAATACTGGTCTAGATGTGTTCTTTCAGCTTTTACTTAAAGGGTTTGCTGTATTCTTGACACCTGCTTATTTAATTCTCCAAAAATGTAACCTGTGAGGGTAAAGAAAGTAACCCAAGGACAAAATAGAGCTCTGTAAAAGGTTACATACTTCCTTCTGATGTGTGCTGGCTTTACTGTCTTAACTCAGAGACAGTGAGATGGACCCAAGGCTGTGATAATTAAAACGTTTTGGGATACTTCATGTTGGTTTCGTGAGGTCTGTGAGATACTCCTCATCGACAAGATTTTCCTACACCTTGTGTATGGTAAAGTATTAATGTAAATCAGTGTGGTTCCGCTAGCATAAATGCTGTGGCTGCTGTTCACCCCATTCAGAGGTCTCGTGTGGTTTGCCTCGTTTTGCAGTACAGCTGCCCAAATGCTTACCATGAGGAAAGGCGGGGTACAGGCTCACCAGGCATTAGCTGCTCTTTTGTAGTCAGAGTGTGCCTGCCCTCATCTTGTGGTGTTTTAGGTTTACCGTGGGTACAGGTCGTTGGCACAGAGTAGATAAATGCTATAAATCTGTACCCTAGTAATTTGTTCAGGCATCCGTACCCTCCAGAAGGTATTAATGGCAACACAGAAAAGTTGGCAGGCATCAGTGTTTGTCCTGCTGTTAGTACTGGTGTGGCAGAGTTGGGGGTGTGTGGCTTGATAGTGCCCTTGGAAACCTATTGGAAACGTGCCCGTGTAGGCAAGTGCAGCAGGATGATGCTCTGTGTCCATGCCCGATGGGTTGGGATGTTACTATAAATTCACTATTAGAAAAATTTGTGAAATGGATGCATCGTGAAAACCAGAGCTAAAAGATCTTCCTGAGGTTTGACTGATTTCCCTATCCAAATAGTTAATTGCTAACGCTGCATTTCCTAAATGGAGGAGTGGGAGGGATTGGAAAAATAATCTTAAACAGGAAGAACAGTTACAGACAAACACATTTAACAATAACCTGTAGAGACATTCACGGTAGTCTCTCACTGGCAATTAAATACTCAGTGGTTTGGATAGAATCCTTATCATGATATCGCGAGAAATCCCTATGTTGCCACTTGTATACGTACCCTGTTCTTACACCATATGGACTGCTGCTACTGAGTGAGATGATCTGACTTGCTGCAACAGTTATTAGGGTGGACGTGAGAAAATATTGCTAAACAAATGTAAAGATACACAGAGGATTGGCGGGAGAGAAGAAGGTGCACACCTCTTTTCTGTGTGTACATACATATTTGTGGATTTTGAAATATGTATTTTCTGCCTTCCCTATGTGAAAGTTCTCCTAAGAATCTGCTAATGTTTCTAGCTTAGAACGTGAACCAGAGTGACGTGTCATCTTTGTTTTTTCTGGTGCATCTTCTGGGAGTCTAGATGATACGCATGATAAATCTTTCACCTTGGCAGAAAGAGAGGGAAGTGTTTAACCAAGGTTGTCTTTTACTTCAACATCTATCGATAGGGGACTGCAGTTACAAATATGTAAAGCTGTGTGTTTTTGCTAAGAGGAGTGCTTAGAACCAGAAAGGGACAACCTTTCCCTAAGGAAGAGGCCTCAACTACAACAGAAGATGAGATTGTTTTAAAAATGGATCAAATTGAGCCCACCTTACACTGAAATAGTTTAATACTTGCTTGAACAGGGCCGTATTTAAGCATACTAGTTAAAACAGTGCCTTTTGAATCCGTGTGGTTACGTTGCGCAAGTTGCTGTGTCCGTGGGCGCATCCCCTCAAGTTCTCATGTCAGTGATTTCTCGCACGGGGAGCAGCGCATCGGGGTTCATGGTATGTCCCATTTACCAAAGAAAACAGTCTACTGACCACGGAACTGAATTCACTGACTCCCACTCGTGCGTGCTTTTTGCTAGCGTAATTTTTTAGTATCTACAGATTCCTCTGGGTTAGATGAGGACTACGTTTCCAGAATTGCATTTAGTTACCTTTACACCATTGGGAAAAACTCCTGTTACTGATAGCAACTGATAGCAAACTAGCAGAAGCATCCTGCCTGACCTGCTTTTAGGCCTCAGAAACTTAGCAGAGCTTTTCAAGAGAAAATGTGTAAGTTAAAAAGGTTTAGCCCAAATTTAATCTTTTTTTTTTTTTTTTTTTTTTTTTTTTTTCTTTTGTGAGCCTTTGATAGAGCCGAGCTGCATCTGTTGTACAAATCTGGTGCATTGCTGGTAGACAGAGCTGTGTGCCACAATTTCCTGTGCACAGTGTATTTGTTACCAGTCTCAAATTAATTGTACTTGTCTTAATGAAGTGTTTGTTAACCATTATTATTATTCTATTCTCTCTTGCTGGGCTTGTACAATACCTCAGCAATAAGTTTACTGTAATAATGCTGTAGTCTTGCAGATGAAAAAGATCTACACCTTTGAATCCCAAAACAAATACTGTTTTTTTTTTTTTTTTTCATGGCTTTTAAAATTTTTCTTATAAAAAAATAATACGAACAGAATATTTTCAGTAGAATTGAGGTGCCTACAGGCTAGAGAGCTGGAGATTTCACAGGAGGCGTGTGCACACATGCAGCTTTCAAATACTTACTCCGTCGGGCTGAAACCCGTAAGCTAGAATTGCTTTTAAATACCCGGTCTGGACGCTTAGCGCGCAGGCTTCGCACCGCCACTTACCAAGGCAAGCCTGCGAGGCCGGCGTGCAGGCCCTCACGCTGTGCCTGCCTCTTGCAGATGCGTACGACCCGCAAAGTGTCGGTCTGGCCCGTGGGACTGGTCGGAGGACGGCGGTACGAGCGCCCGGTCGTGGAGAACGGCAAGGTTGTCGGCTGGTACACCGGCTGGAGAGCTGACAGGCCCTTCGCTATTGACATGGCAGGTAAGCACCGAGTGTCGTGATACGTGAGTGTTGCTCGTAATAACTGTTCTTACAGTTTGCATGAGCGGGACAGAAACGGATGTCTCGGTGTAATAAGCAGCTTTTAAAACTCCTGAAGTGCTGCCGCTGTGTGTAGCCCTTTAGCACTATGTATCCTGGAAGTCTTAGCTTGCACATCTTGTCTAATTAAGTTGCTGATTGGTGATATCTGAACTTACTTTCACTCTTTTTAATTTTATGCGGTACCTTGGCTTTTATGTTGTATAAATTGTCTGAAACAAGTTAGCTGCAAATTAATTCATCCAGTTCATTTTTGCAAGGAGCCCCTGCCTTTCCTTGTGCCATCAATGTATACCAGGCAGTATAAATGCAGACCCTTCTTGGACCTCATGCTGTAAAATGCTACATTATAATGAAATTATTCATTTTTTTAATTGGTTATTTGGAATGATGGCGATAACTGCAGATGGCTATAATTTGAAACACTGGCATGAGGGGAAAAGCAGCTCTACTAGGAGCACTACCTCCTCGTACTTTTACTGAAGTCATGGAAGAGAGGGTTATAGAGACAAAGATACAAGTGTGAAGAGTATAGGAAGTTACTGCAGATCCACAAACAAGGAGTTACTACTTTGTGAGAGAACTTTTATTAGTCTTCAGAAAACGACTGCATAAATTAAATCACATTTTTAATTTCAGCAAGGAGAGAAATGGCTGCTGTGCAGGCTGGTAAAAAATTGTGTTTACATCTTTGTTTCCCTCAGGAATGCAGTGGAAGGGCACAGCTAAACAGAACAGAACCAGTAAATCCAAAACTGCATCAGTGTCTGAACAGGTGCAGTCTACAGGATGCGTGTTAACACTCAGTTTCCTGCCCTTGACCCACCACACCCCTGACATTCATACCCCCGGGGCCTTGGAGGACTTGCTAACAAACCTAAGTCCATGCTGTAGTACATCACTGGCATTCCTCCATCTGCTGGCATCAAATATACAAACCACTTAGGTTATACCCTATATTGCACATAAAGAAGATCAAGGATGTCTTTTGAAAATATTACCGTGAAAAAAAAAAAATAGGTGCATCTCTGTTTATAATCCATGTTCTGATTCCCAAGGCAGGGTAAGGAGGCTCTCTTCGGTTTACAGAACTATCTTTTCATAGTGATTTTGAGAAGAATTTGATCATGAGGCAGAGTGTGAAAACAATGACTTCTTAAAAGGTTTGGGACCACTGATTTAACTTGTGGCTGTTCAGAGGAAGCACATCCTTGCTTTTAAGCACATGAACTTCTTACTCTGGACTTCAAAAATGCAGGGTGAAATTCAAATCTACTGCAAGTGGAGACAGATCCAGCTCAAAGACCTGAGCTGGCCAACTTCCCAACATTCTTATTTCAAATATACTCACACAGAGCAATCACATTAGATCAGTTCAGTAAACATTGGTTATTTCCCTTGAGAAGTTTGTGGTTGACACTGCTGTTCTCCAGTGCCAAATTGCATTCAGAAAGCAGAGTAGCTCTTTCCAGTGTTGCTTCTGGTCTGGCAACCAACACACCGTATGAATTAGTTCTGGTGTTTTTAAAGTTCTGCCTCAGTTTCGACTGAGGGTTCTAGAATCTGACAGAGACTTCCTTACCCTCAGGGAAGAAAAGCAAGAGAGAATTGGGAGTTGTAAGCAAAAAGTGACATTGGTTCTGAGGTAGGCACTGTGGTGTTTATTATAGACCCGATTTTAAATCTTCTCTATTAAATGATGCTGTTAGTGATTTACTTTTGGCTTGTTCCCAGTGCCAGAGCTTTTGACCACCCATGAGAACAAGTTAGATTGTGATTCTCCTAATGTCCAGATTGTTCAAGGAAAACAGATGCATGCTTTACATTAGCATTCCAGGAGCTGCTTCAGTCATAGAGAATCATAGAGACTCACATCCATGCCTGTGAATCACTGGGCAAGGAGATTTTGGATTTGTGGTCTAGAGCTCATCCCCTGTGCCTGAAGATCCTCTGCCAGAGCCTGAGGAAGCACAGTTTTGAGATCTTTAGTACATCACATCTTCCTTATGGTTCCCTGAGAAAAAAGCTAGTCTATTAATGACACTGCAAAACATCGCATATTTTGTCTGAATTGTAAAGAGCCACTGCTGGAAGTCTGTTGTGGTTTGAGCTCAGAGGGCAACTGAGCACCACACAGCTGCTCACTTCCCCCTTCCCCCAGCGCTGAGAAGGAGAAAATAAGCCAGGCTTGGGATTTGAGAGGGGACAGGGAGGGATAAATCACTCGTTAGGGGAAGAAAAAAAGAACATTAATTTATTACAGGCACTAACAATAACAACAACATTTAACAGCGAGAGTAGGACAGTGAGAAGCATTGCCACATCTTGAGAACACCTTCCCCCACCCCTCCCTTCTTCCCAGGCTCAGTTCTGCTCCCGATACCTCTACCTCCTCCCTCAGCAGTCCAAGGGGCAGGGACTGGGGGGTGCAGTCAGTGCTGCCGCTTCTTCCATCTTCGGTGGGGGGAGCTGCTGGAACTTCTTGAACTGTGTGGAAACCAGTATATCCATTTCAACAACAGCACTGAGCATTAGCATTTATACACTCTGGAAATGATAAACACTCCCAGTTTCTAGCTTGCCTTCAGCTACTATCCTATCTAGAGCATTCAGGAAGCAAAGGCATTAATCACAGCAAAAAAAAATCTTTAAAGAGTGGCTCAGTCTAACTGGATGAAGAAAAATGGTTGTGCCTTTTAACAGAAGCCATTGATCTAACACAAGTCAAGGTGTGAATTAACAGGAACAGCTTCCGTAGAAAGAAGCACAGATGTAATCTTTGCCATGTCTCCCAGGTATCTTGTCCTCCAACAAATTAATTCGTATCTCGGTGGCTCTTCAGTCAATTAGATTTAATTTACAGCCTTGCATTGAAACCCAAAACACCTCTTCACATTCCAGCTGTGAAACTGTCCTATGGCATTTCGCGTGCACTTACGCCCAATATGACTTTGTAGGAATAATGATCAAGAATTGCATGTGTATAGCACTGTTCAGTTATGCAACTCTGGAGACAGTAATCCCAGATTAATACCTGTTTGGGGAGAGAGTTCAAAGTAACAGTGTGTTTTCATCTGTTACCACAGGGTTGTTGTCTACTGAGCAAAATAACTAGTGCTAGTCTGGTCAAAACCCGAGCCATCTCCTTTCTTTTTGATGCCAAGATGATCCATCTGTGATAAAAAGTCAGCTGACTGTTGTCACTAGAAAATGTAGTCTATCCAAAGTCTGTTTACATAAATACAAAATTTCATACATGAGAAATTAAAGCAGTTATAAAGAAGAGGTGAAGAACTAGTGATCCAGGAGATAAGTCTCCTTGAAATACTTTCTCTCTTCAAGTTGCTTCTTTATTGGATTTTTTTAAGAAACAAAGACTGCATGACCACTGATCAAAGAAACAAACCTCAGGCCACAGGCCAGTCAGTGCACAGTAATCCACGTCCTTGCCACGTACAACACTCAGCTTAATAATCTAACTTTTATTTGGTACCTGAAAACATGAGGGATTTTTGATAGCACCATAAAATGGCAGTTTGCAATAGCGAGGTCACGTGTTACTTGCAGGGGGCACGGCCCATCTGAAGATCTGTGTGTAGGAGAAATCCACCCTGAGAACTGAATCCAGGTTTCTCAACAGAGGAGCAAGCTTTGCAACAAGAGAATGTAGGAGAAGTTAGTGTATGGATAAGTTGGGGCCCTGAGGGCCAGGGAGTCAAGCTGAGACACACAAAGATAAGCAGCAGAAAATCTGTGTCCCTCCTGCTTAGAATGGGATTCCTTCTCCTCTCTAAGAACTAGGACACTATATTAATTTTGATGTTTATTTCATTTTCTCCTTTATGGATGACTGGCTTAAATCTTAAAAATTACATCTTTTAAAAGAGGAGCAGCAGCTTACACGGCTGAGGAGGGCTCCAACAATGCCTGCCTTTGCAAAGCAAACATTTTCTGAGGGGCTCAAAATATCAACCACACTAATGCCTGGTTACACCAAAAATGTGGTTTCTTCTAACTGAAGAAAAAACCAAACCACCCTAACAAAAAAACCCGAACTGAGCCAGGCCAATTTATTTATCAGCGATAGAAGTCTACAGCCATCTCTCAAGGTGCAAGAAGCTGGCTGTGTGCACCCCCCACCGCTGTCTCTTGCTGAGGGAGTTTGAACTCTCACCCTCGGCTCTTCCCCGGTGACGACCCATGGCTGTGACCAGCACTGGGCTGGCGCCCAACTCGTGCTCCCTCGCAGCCAGGCTACAAGTCGTGGGAAGCAAGAAAAGCCTGCAGCCCGCTGAAGACAAACCCTCTCCTGGGGAGGGAAGTCCCAGCTGCCGTGCTTGTGTCAGAACCCCGCAGCTGCAGCGGGGAGCAGCCACGTCCCGGCCCTGCGGCGAGCAGGTGGTGCCGCTGCAGAGCGGGAGCACGGGCAGGCTGCACAGCCAAAGCTCACACCTCCTGAAGGCTCTTCCTCACGAGAGCACTCTGCAAGGCGTGGATAAGCCCCTTCCATCCAGACACCCTTTCTTTATCTTGGGCAGGATGTAATGTATAAAGTTGAAAGTGTTTTCTTCAACCGTCTCTGTGAGCGAATGGGCACCTCAGTTTACACCTAACCTGTAGTCTTCATCTGCAGCATCCAAATCTTTATTTAAAAAATAAAAAAAAAAACACTTTCTGGTATCTTCCTGTGCTTTGCTACAAGCAAGAGCACAATAGTTAAAAGTGGTTTCAGTATGTCTTCTTTACATGTAATATGGTAATTACTTCCTTGTATTTTCCTGTTTGAAAGGCTCCCGTAAAAGGCACAGACACATTCAAGGAAAATACAGTAGCAAGGTAACTAGTCAAAAAGGGGACAGATTTATATTCCATTAGAGAAAGTTATACTCCTTTTTACATGAGAAAATGTTAATACTGGCTTTAGAATTAAATGTTCTTGTAGTTTTCCAGAACAGATGTCAAAGCTGTTACTTCTGCTGTTTCAACGGGACAGCTGGAACCACTCTGAACTGAGGAGAAAAGGATCCCTTTGGTAGGCTTGGCAATTAGACATTAGCAGTTACAAACGTAATTTTTCTTTACAAATATATCAGTCAAGTTTCGAGTCCTACTTAAGAAGCATACATGCACCTGAACCTTGCTGAATGAAAACCAGAGAGTTCTATAAATAACGGCAAACTGGAGATTCACAAGAGCTGCTTCAGAGAGGGCGAGTTTGTCCAAACTAGTGATTTCTCAGTCGGCAGTCTCCCTGAGGTATGTTGTTAGAGGAATGCATTGCAGAGAGGCGTGTGCCCTGATGAAGCCCTTTCAGTCTCTAAAGGCCACAGTTTTTGTGTCTAAGGAACGTATTTTAACCTTTTTTCCTGACTCTCACCTTTAAACCTGTAAGTTTTTGTACAGTATAAATTTTATACATTTTTCTTTTACTTAAAATTCAGTTTTATCTCTTCATTACAAGCAGAAAGGAAGGACAGTCCAAGATCTTAGAAACACCTGACTTTTCAAGGCAACACTATGCATTCTCTACATGATGGGAAATTGATTAAACATGTTGAAAATATGGTGCAATTAAAAGACTACGATTGCACCTTCAGGGCAAAACAAAACAATGTAGGATGTACAAACCTACCGAACACTGTCTACCCATACAATCAAATTCACACATTTTTAAGAACAACATGGGAGATTTCTAGGCTGAAGCGCACAAAAACCTAAAGCTTAGGGGTTTTTCTTGACATTTTTTTTCCCCTTCCCTCTCCCCAAGGATTTGCTGTGAGTCTTCAGGTGATCCTATCGCATCCGAAAGCTGCATTCAAGCGCCGTGGTTCTCAACCAGGAATGCAAGAATCTGATTTTCTGAAACAGATAACAACAGTGGAGGAACTGGAGCCAAAAGCAAACAACTGCACAAAGGTACCGGTTTCAACGCTTACTAAAATGCTTTTGTATCACCTCTGTGGATGGCTGTACTAAGGCAAATGTTATTTTCTAGGTTCTTGTATGGCACACACGAACAGAAAAAGTAAATCTAGCTAACGAGCCAAAATACCATCTGGACACAGTCAATATTGAGGTGTGATCTGGAGACACGGTAACACAGGGAGCGCAGTACAACGGACGTGTCCCAGGGTGTTGGAATTCAGCCAGTTAAACGTGTCTGCGTCTGCGTGAGACCTTTTACCAGTCATCTGACGGACTTCTGCGGGAACAAAAGGGAGTTGTCAGATACTCTAATACGCAAATCAAGCGGCTGTGCTTTGTTCTAACTCGTTTGCATGCAATTCCGAACTCTCGTCCTAATAAACTGACACTTACCTTTGTTTCAAGGCTGTTTCCACATAGTAAAAAGAATCAAAGAGAAACATGGCTGCAATGGAGTATTTTAAAAGTCATCATTTATGTATATACTTTTTGTATTTATCCAGCGTAATGGTGTAATTATAAACTGACTTAACTCATGAACCGTCAATCTAAATATCTGCATAAATGGATCCCCTACACGGAACGTGTTTTCCTTCATTAGAAGTAGACTTCTTGAACAAATAGCGGTCAGATAGGTCATACAATAATGAAATAAAAACCCACAATCATTTATGGATTCATCCTTTTAATATAGGGAAATAACATTTTATCATTACGAGGCACCATAAAATGTAAACACAATCACTGTCATAAACCTGGATATCTCTGCAAGGAAAAATAGATCTGTTCACACTGAGTTACCTTGTATACCCACCGTGCCGCCAGTTCTCAGCATTAATACTGTGTACCTGCCTCGGGAGCCAGACGGGATACGTTATCACCGGAATCTCAAACGAATCAAATGCTCATTTTTAAAAGAATAAACTATTGATTTGTAGAACTACAGTAACATCCAGGTTTATCTTTCTTCCAATAACCGTATTCCCTGTTATGCACACCATAATAACATCACAGTGAAATGTATGATGAAACAAAATTTGTTTGATACACTAGAAAACATTGCTCAGTGATACATTTACATTCTATTTATATATGATTAAACATTTGTTCATACAGTACCTTCTACAGGATTACTGGGTAATTTTGGAGGGGTCAGGGTTCATATCTTTCGGATATTACTAACATGAGAGCTACGTCCCTTATATGCAAACATTTGATCTAGAATTTTGAGGGAAAAAAAATCAGTATGTGGTGGTTAAGCAGCTTCTTAAATATATGGTCTATGAAATCATATGCATTGTACGGAAATGCTGCCCATGATGTATAAATGTATTCTTGATCTGCTTTTCACTACATCAAATTTAAATCAATATAGACCACAACACGGTCAGTCAGTTATATTCTTAATCCGAACAGCTGGGGGAAAAGAAAAAGAATATGTACATGGAAGGAACAGCGAAAGTAAATGCGTTTGAACAAGGAATGCTGGGTGGCTGTCCTCGGTGAGACTTCTGGCGCAGCTTTCATTTCCACAGTTGTGTGCTGAGAGTCTGACCGGAGGAGCTCCCCGTCCACCCCGCCGCCGTGCTGGGGGGCTGCCCAAAGCCCATCGCGCTGCTGGAGCTGCTGAGGTTCATTCCAGCCATCTGCTGGCTCATCTGTGAAGCACACACGCACGAGCCCGGTTAGCACTGGCGCAGCGCCCCGCCAGCCGACAGGCAGTCGTCCCCCCCGCGAGCAACCCAGGTCCAGGACGCTTCCCCACCGTTAATATTTCTCATTAAATAAAAATACGGACTTGGTGGAGGTTTCCAAGCATTTCCCAAGACAGCAGCTTTCCTGGAACCATTCAGTCACCGTTACACATCAGCTGACTGGCCGTGGCACTTGCTCCTATGTGCCAAGTCTGTCTAAACACCCCGCCGGTGAATTTACGGAGCGTGTCACCAAGGAGCCCGCTGTGTCTCAGTCGACCAGAGCTTGCTTTCAGGGTTTCAGAGCTCACCAACAAAATTGTGGCAACTGCGCTAAAGAAACACCAAAGCAAGGAATGCAGCCTTGGCTACAGTTGCAGCTCCAGGTGTTTTGTGTTCCAGCAGAATTTCTTTGGAGACCTCCAGGTGGTGAATACACAAATTTTTATAGAGATTGTCCACTAAGGTGGCAACCAACAAAGAACGAGGCAGAGTTATAAACCTGAGCATCATCTAAATCTGACCGTTCTTGCTCTATCATCTAGTTAAAGGTGGGAAAGAGTTAAAAATTCAGCACGTTCACTGCAGGGTTGGTGCAAAAATAGTTCTAGTCTCTACAAATACTGCCTAATCACTGTAATTTTCAGTGCTCAATGTAAAAACATTCCTCAGGTTACTCTCCCTTGCCTTCTCAAAAATTAACACACACTGACAAGCCAAAACCTAGCTGCGTAGGCAGAGTAAGGCTGTTCCCTCTTGTGAGTTTGAGAGCAAAAGAGCATTTGGAGCCACTAAATCGGAACGGATGAATAGGGGCCTTGGATAAGCAACATCAGACTCAAGTTAGAGACAGCATTAGGTGAAAATCAGAGTTCATGTAAGCATGAGCAAACAATACCAGTCTGCAAAATGAAACTGAAACACCGGTGAAAAAAAAACTGTTGAATAAATTACAAACTAATATTTCAGGGTAAAAATTCAGTACCGTGTGCTTTCACACGTGTATCTGCAACACCAACCCATCCCTGAGCACGGAAATGAAAACAACGCCGACAGAGGCATGCTTTACCCAGTTAATCTCTTCTGAGGTGGAATTCTTACTTAAGACGACTATATAAAGCCTGCTATTCTGGTAAGTAAAGCAAACTCTCCCCCTTTCAACTGGAGCCAGAGATTAGATCACAGCTCCCCCACAAACCGTGGAATGTCAGCATGCTGACATCATCTGGCGCGCAAGGGGTACAGGTTAAGAGCTTGCTCGGTGAGGCAACTTCTAATAGATACTTGGTAAGGAGCATGATTTTCATTTCAAAGCTCATATGGGTCTTTTTAAAGTTAGATAGCTAGAAAAGTAAATCCACAGATTTTTTTTTTTTTTGTAGTTTGAGATTTTGAAATTCTCACCTTTTAAAAATTACTTTTCAAACCAGAATGACACAGCCTGTATTTTTCAAGTAGGGGCCGTGTTATCCATGTAAAAAATGGTGCTTACTTGCATAAACGTTCACACTGCAGGACTGAGCAGAACAGTAAGAATTAATATAATCCAATCGAAATAACTCTCTAAGGTTCACTACTTCCTGAATTACTAGAGTAAGCAGCATGGGATTCTTGTAATTCAGAGAATACTATGAAAAATAGTTGCTATCGTCCATACTGAACTCCAAGGGAATCATTTAGGTTTGTGTGTCTCCCTCCCAATCACCTCTCGAATAGCTGGTTTCAAGATGTTTCACTGGATAATGTACCAATATAGTACTAAGTGTACACTAACACTTGCAGAGAACCTTTCAATCACTTTTAAGAAATAAAAAAATAGCATGGAAATGCTACAGATAAAGAATAGATTAGCCTAAGCGAATTGTCTACAGGAGAATGTTAAGAGTGCAAAGCACCGCACGTTCCACTGAAATTTATCCTGAGGTCTGTAAATGAAAGTATTAATTGTTAATGGCTATCCTCAAGCACCTAAATTCTGCTTTTAATTATATGGCTGTGTTTACATTTCAGTATTTTGTAACTACAGCTAAGCTAGCTTTTTACCTGGGTAGTTCAGATGCGGTGAGGAGAGCAGCTACAGAAGCAGAGATCCGAGTTTGGTCTATCTTATCAAAATTTATCCTCTGCTTATGTATTAGTTATCTTTAGTTAGGTTATTCACTGATTTTTTTCCCCATGTGCCTCTGAGCAGTTCATAGCCCAGCAGCAGTCTGTAAGGTAGCTACACCGCAATGTCCCTGCTGCAGCCAACCATTTTGTATCTAAAAAGCAACATCTTTTTTAAAGCGGGCTTGCCCGGGAATAGCAAGTTTTTACCTGAGAGAGGTTCCATTGAGCTTGTTGGCTTTGTTGCAATCCATACTTATTCTGTGGCGCGACCATCTGTCCCACCATTCCACCTTGAGGTCCAACGACATTCTGAGGAAGTCCCATGACACCAGTTTGTGTAGTACCAGTAAATCCATTGGGCATTCCCATTCCTACCATCACGCCTGTGCTCTGTCCCATGACTGGCACCGATTGTCCCATCATGTTTCCCATCATCCCCGTTGCTGCAGGCACAGGAACTCCCATGGCTGGAAAGCCTTGAAACTGAGTTGATGGTTGTGTGGTAAATGGCATAGACGACGACCCCATGAACATAACTGGACCAGAAAAGGGAAGATTTCAGCAAAAGTGTTTTGTGATTTTTCTCCCCATCCCCGTAAGTCAGAAGTGCACCAAAATAATTTCAAAGGATAACTTTGTCCAGCTGTACGTCAGTGCTGCTAATTTAGTTTCTGGTAAAAGTAAAAAAATGCTTAAAAACTCTCAAAGGGAAGGGACTCACAACCAGAGGTTAACAGCCAAAAAGAGTCTGGCAAATCCCCGTGGTGAACCAGGATCTTTTAATTGCTGTATTGGAAGTCTTTGTTTTCACACAAACGTAGCTAAAATCAAGATATGACAGCTCTGTACTGATCCTGGCAGCCTGCTGTTTGCACAGCGGAGACTTGGACTCTCAGCGATGAACTGGATGGCAGAAGCTCAATTCACAAATCTTTCAGTACATTGTATATTTGATAATTTGAACAGCTATAAATAAATTAAAATCACATACTTTTTTTTTTTCATTAGTTTTTGTATTAAAACTCAGTAATTTTCTCATTTTTATAAATGGTAAAAATAAAAATCTTCATTTGACTATAGGTAGCGGGGTACACAACCTTAGTTTTATACTTGTAGGAGATTACTATTTTAGGCAAAGCTCAAAATAGGACTGCATGGAAACCTTTCCAAAATTATTTACCTGGAGCATTTTGCTGCTGCATGGTTCCTGTGCCGTACAGTGATAAGATGGAGTCTTTGGAGAGCTGTTTCTTTGCCGACTCTTCGGATTTTGTTGCTTGCTCAGTGAACAGATCGAGATCCCCGGACGCCGCAGACAAGGCGGCAGCTGCTGGTTTAGTGGAAGTGCTCTGGGAAATAAAGGTCAAGACAGGCTCCTGAATGAAACCAGCAAAAGATGTTACATTAACTATTTACTGCACAACCTCGCTCCTGAACCAAATAAAACCCAGTTCATTTACAGAAATTAAGTAAATGAAGATTACAAAAGATGTATGACCAAAGACAAAAAGGCAGTACATACGATATGGAAAGAAGATCAGACAGAGGTTACAAACCATGCAAAACTAAAACCCCCACCAGCTTCAGGACATACACATACAGGTTATTCATTCCTGTTCTCTTACATTTTTCATCAGTGAGAAGCATAAACCATGAGCTCTAGTTAGATTATGAAAAATAATTAGGGAATCAATGAGGAGATTACAGTTCACATCTCATTAATCCTCTCATAGGCAGGATAGATTAGAGAAGAGCTAAAACAAGATTAAGTGCTTTGGAATATACTACTATGACTAAGATGAACAGTATTTTTGGAGAAAAGGCAAAAGTAAAATTTCAGTTGATCTACTTGAAGGAACAACTTTTCTAGAATACATTGTTTATAACTGACTTCAAGTTCTTAAAGCACAATTAATTAACTGAAAAAGCCTAAGTACCTAAAACCTACTGTAGTCTAGGTCTGAAAAACTAAAATACAGGATGTCAGGCTTTTTATTGCTCTTGCACCAAAATGTTTTGTAAACAAATTACATCCAGGTGTCTTTCAGTGCTGTTATTTTGCTGCTCATACACATACAGTTCCATATGGGGCCTTGCTTAGGTTACTAGCCAACACACTGCAGTCTTGCTGTATTTCTTAAA